CTAACAGGAATATAATTTTGATTTTGTTCCTCACAAGGGCTTCATAAAGAATTACAGCAACAAAAATGTGAACATTACTTAGACAGCATATTGATCCATACTGAAATAATGTGAATATTAAAATCTTAGAGCTTAATGTTTCCCCAGCAACATCAGTAGACTATATTAAATTAATATGCTATTTTATTTGTCTTTTATTGTTAAATTTGTACATTATCAAAGCATAAAGTTTGTGGGGTTTGGTGTTCATCCATTTTGTAAGGGTTTTGTCATTTAGTATTTGCAGAATAGTGAAGTAATCCTTAACACTTCAACAGTCAGTTCTATTTTTACTGAAAATGAGCAATAAATAAATTTTGATCATCAATTTCAAATGAAATAATACTTAGTCTTTGGACAGATATAAACCATAAAATATACAATCTTCTCTCTTAAAACTTGTGTCTGCAATTTTATTTTTTGCTGTTTGTATTTAGTAGAATTTATTAATTATTTTTGCAAGTAACAATAGCCAAGACATTACAGCTTTCCATGTTCTCATAAATACTATATTAATTGCTTGAATATTAATTATAAAATAAATCATAAGGGTTTTTTTAGATTTATTAGTGCTTAGTCAATAACTGAAATCAAGAATGAAGATTAATAATGCATACATTGATTGTACAGTGCATGCACAAATTTTCAGACGTGTGTAATCATTAAAGATGGCTACATTATGTATATTTTTTTAAGGATCCATACTCCACATTATAAATTCTAGGCTACAAATACAATTTTTGTTGATTTTAATAAATCATAACCATACTCAATTTCATTTTTTGTAAAATATTATTATTCTAATAGCAATTCAGACTGCACATTTCTTCATGTACTATTTTCTGAAAATTGGACACTGAAAATTGCTATATATAGTAAATTATCAGTTTTATTGCTTAAAAATTTCAGTGTGCATTCAAAATATTTATTTTCTTACATATTACATGAATTCAGCTATTATTCAGAGATAATACCTTTGTAGCACTTGATAGCTGTCTCCTATGGAGTTTGTGGAGCTTTGTGTTGGTTCTGGCACCTTGCCCAGCAGGAGGTATCCTCATACAGTCCTAGACAAAACTACTAAGTTTAGGAGATTTTATATTATATGCTCTTTTGGCTTGGGAGAATTGAAAATGAGTCACAGGTGGGACAATAGTTGGTGAAATTTTTTTGTGATTTTTTACTTCATAGCAAAGAAAGACTTTATTTTTTTGTAATACATTCTCCTTAAGTTTTCCTTCTGTCAGCAGTATTTTTTTCCCATTGAAAACTTAGGTTCAAACAAACAACTACATTAATGGTACATTTATGAGAAAAGTATGCATGTAAAAGGTGTCTTCCTGCCATTCATCCAGCTATGAAAGGATGAGGTTCATGGTTAGAGTCTTTACCAGAAAGATTAAATAGATGAGCCAATAACACTTTGTTTTAGTGTTCATCTGCTAAAGAATATTATTGGAAATGAAAATCTGTGCTGTCTAATAGGCACTAACACAACTGCAACCATAACTACTGACTTATAGATCCACAATTTGTGGAAATAGTTGCTTTTGGGACCTGATATTTTCCCAGGCTTGGTCTCTGCTAAGGAATTATATATTTATTTGTAAAAGTTTGCATGAAATGGGTATGGTTTCAAAGGACTGGGAGCACCCCTGGAGTGCCACAAAGGCTTTGATGTTGCAAAGGCAGCTGAGTCAATTCAGGGCTAAGAGCTTGATTGTGCCCTCTGGTGCCCCGGCCAAAGCCTGTGTGGTCAGCTGGCTGCCCTTCAGCAGCTGGCCAGCAGTGCAGCTTCCAGGCCAGGGGCCAGCAGGCAAAGTCAACCTTCCAACCTTCCAGACTCCTCTCTGAGCTCTGAATGTAAACGTTGGGGGCTTTTGCCTCTCTGTGGCCTGTGAGGGGATCCAGTGTGCTTGAGCAAATCCAGGCACAGCTGATTGGAAATGTGGTGGTGTTGCCCCAGACAAAGGGAATGCAGAGGGGACAGTCCATGTTGAACCCTTCCTTTGATGCTGCCACTGGGATGTGCTGTGTTCTTAGCCTGTCCTCCTCTCAAATGCACTGGCAATGAACCCAGATGGAATTGTAAGTGCAGTTTAAGAAAACCAGCTCTATAGCTCAGCAGCATTTCCCTCCTCTGGGTGCTCCTACTATGTACTGAATGCATAAATAAAGCATGCTAATTGTGCACATGAGCTGAGGTGAGTGCTGTTAGGTCCTTAAAACTTGGGTTTCCCAATTTTATGATTAGCTATGTACACATTTGCTTCAATATTAATTTCATCCAACAGCTGTTTCTATAGGAAGATGTATCATATAAAGAAGTTTTCATTAATGGCAGCAAATAAATGCTTTCAGGGGAAATTTTTTAGGAAGCAGGAATACAATTAGTCCTTTTAAATAATATTCCCTAAAATATGCAGAAAATAGCATATTGCAACAATTTATATTTGGTGTCTTCTATCTAACACAAGTCCTACTGCCTTCTTTAGATAAAAACTTATTGATTCTAATAATAATTTTTATCTGTAAAATCTTAGAGTTTCAGGTTGACAAAACCAGTGTGACTTTTGTCTTTTTTAGTTTAATCTAGTCTATTGTAGATAAACTAGTACTATATCCTCTTTGGAATTGTATTTTTTCTATCAGTTGCATCTGATTTGTGCCAATATTCCAGAGAGCTCTGTGTCAGATGAACTAAGATGGCATTGCATTTGTCATGAGGCTGTTATGAGGTTGATATAAAGAGATTGTTGTTTTTCACTATAGTGCATACTTTAATTTGTTGAAAGCTCTTACAACAAGCACTTTCATAGTTTCACGATAGCACTGTTTTTTAATGAAGATTAATGATTGCAATCCTGGTAATGCCAAAATCACACTGCTCTGTACATCACAGATTGCAAAGTGGCTTTTGTTCCTGACCTAGTCTCCTTTTAAGACAGAGATCATGGCCTCTAAGCCTCACAAGACCCATCACAAACGGTACTCTTGGAGAATCCCAAATCTGATACCATGTATTAAAACAGTACAATTATTAATTTTCTGGTTTTGTTGACACCAAGATGCCCAGCAGACAGGCACTCCTAGAAGAGTGTTCTGCTCAGATGGAGGTAGGCAATACTTCACTGAGTCCAAATCCAGAGTGCAAGGCATCGGGTACAGGAAGGGCCATCAGATATATTAAATAAGTTTGGGTCCTCCAAAGTTTGCAATACAACTGCAACGATATTGTGATCAACAAAATTACTTAGCAGCTATGAGACAGGATTAGGTGTGCTATGCCATTCCTAAACCTAAGTTTACAAAGGAATAGAAAATATAGGGTATTTCTTACCTTGTAATTGAGTCTTTTTGGTCTGGTTCACCCATAGCATTCACTGTCCTTATACCTTAGTGAATTCAGAGAGCAAAGACTCAACCTAATTTTATTCTCAGGAAAGCAACCAAGGAATTAGCAATCTGAGAAAGCTGAATTATTTATTGATGGAGGAGATCTCAAAATTCAGGTTGGCATGGATTGACATGCCCCAGAACAGCAGAGGCCAGTGACACAGAGCCAGTGAGCTGAAGCCTCATGTTACCATGGGTTTCAGGCTTTGCAGAATCTTCCTCCAGCTCATTGTTCAGAAGTGCTAAGGCAATTCACTTGAACTTTTATCTGTGAACATGCCATAGAACCATTTGAATTTATAAACCCCTGCAAATCAGGTAGAGATTCTTACATTGGCTGCACATCTGCAAAGCACATACATTATCACATTAGATTCTTAAGTGCCTATAGTTTCCCAGCATGTTTATGTGTTGAATGGAAAGAATCCACTCAACAGCTAATTTTTTCCACTGTTCCAGTCACACCTTCTCACATGCTACAGTCTCATATTCAGATGTCTCATAAACCAGATATATGAAAAATGACCTTGCCTCCATGCTCATGTCGTCATTTGTATAAAAAATTCCAAGCACCACATAATATAAAACATTTCTTTTTATTCTCATCTTGCAATTAACTCCAGTCTCATTGTAAATTTTCTAAACTTTGACAAGCAATACAAATTCAGAGCTGTAACCTACATTGCTCTGGCAGATCAGTGGCAGCCTCACACTGAGATATACAATCTTTTTTTTTTAAAGTTTGATATGAAAACTTAATTTTGCATACCATGCTGTGTACACTTGCTGTATGCACTACTTTTGTGCATATTACAGCTAAAAGAAATGGCTTTAATTGCTGCAACACTGTTCTGCCAGGTATATGCTGAGAATAAAATTTGTCTTATATGGATCAAGCAGGTTTTTGCTATAATGATCAAATGTTACAAGTTGCACAGCATTCACAGAGAACTTCTCATGGTTTTGTGGACACAGAAGGGTTTACAGTAAATGTTTCACTCTGAGTGCTGGTACTTTTGTGTTACTTCATACATCTGAGCAAAAATATAGTTTTTTTCTGTGGAGCACAGAAGGGAAAAAGAGGTCCTAAAGTAGTTTAAACTCAGAGTTAGATATGTTTCTAAACTCTTCAATACAAACCGAGAAGCATTACGTATTATAAAGGCTATCACAGTTTGTGCTGCAAGACTATAATAATTTATAATATCCTTTAAGATTTCTGTGGCATGGCAAGTGTTATAAATGTAAGAATGTAAGACTATGGTGAAAAATAATATTGTCAAGTGCTTTAAGAAGTTTCATATGTAAATTGTCATATAAATAGGAAATAAAATATTTTCATATAAAATAAAACAATCTCAAAATCTGGTTTGGGAAATGTATTGATCAAGTAGAGCAAATTCTTCAAATATTTTACCCAAGAATTTATGATACACCTGAAAAAATAAAGTTCATACTAATATATTTCTTTTTTTTTTCTGAATTATGAAAAACAAGGATTAGTTTTACTTTGAGTGGAAATGTAACACATTGGTTAATTAATTTTCTTGTTTCCTCAAATACAGATCTGCAGGCTTCAGCGTCATCTCTCAACAGGAAAATACCAGCAGAATCTCTTTTCAAACCAGCCTGTCATGTTTGTATCTCCTACCAGTCAGCCCCCCTGCAAAAAGCTGATTGAACTTATACAGCTGGCAGGAGGGAAAATATGTAAAGCCTTACGTCAGGCAAAAATCTGTATAGGAAGAAAACCAGGAAAGAAGTACCAGGAAATAATATCTTTATCAGAAAAATGGATATTAGGTAAGACACCAAATTTCAACTTATATAAAATATTGAGAATATGTATTTTAAAAGTTATCAAATGTATTTCACTAAACTGAGGTTATGAAAGTATGAAAATGGAACCAAGCTGGATTTTCAGGAAAGTTGTCTCTATGGTGAGATCTTTCTCTTACAGCTAAGAGGGTTTTATGATGGTCCTGGTACTCACCATTTTAATTTTTCTTAGAACAAATATCATCCAAATACCTTCAAATGTATCTTTTGTATGATGGTTTCACTTAGAACAAACTAAATTATGGGAAAATGCTTACATGAGAATTGCTTTCTAAAACAGCACTTATTTCAACTTTAGATGCAGTTTTAACTGGTATAAATTGGCATAGTAATACTGAAATATAGTGACTGGCACCCTCTGATAAATTTTCCTGAATGCTGTGTTGTATGAAAGACAATTTTTGCAGTCTCCATTTTACTTGCAAAAAGTTTCTTTTTAACACCTGCTGTTAAGTTTCTGAGTTCTTAGTTTATCATTTTTCCAACTCATTTGCCACCCATTCTGACAGACTCTTATTTTCAGCAAGAGTATTTCCCAAAAAGAGATCTTGTTTAGAAAAAAAAAAGCTTTAATTTATGTCATATGCTCTGTCAAACTGCTCCAGAAAATATCTCACTCATACCCTAGCAATAAATGTACTACAGGAGTTGATGTTATATGGGAATAGCCAAGCAAGTCCTAATCTCTTGACCTCAACTACTGTCAGATCATAATGACTTAAAACCTGAATGAAAATACCATTAAAGAAGAAAGGAAAAGTGAGCCATAAGGGAAAAATTATCATCTGAATGCACATTTTATGTCATACTTACTTAAAGTATAAGACAAAATTGTGAAGATTGATAAGGGAGACTTAAGAAGGTGGCATTGTTTATTGTACTTTTCTCCAGTTTCCAGGAAGACTTAGAGAGCAAGTGTGCAAAAGAAAAGTGAGCTGGTAATGAAACCAGAGGTTTGTGCAGGACAAAACAGAAGTTTCCAATAGCAGTGCTCCAGATGGACAAATGCAGCGATCTGAAGCAGTGCGTGATTCGTGTGTCCCACGCCCAGATCTCATGAGCTCCCTGCAGCTGCACAGGTCACCTTCAGCCCATCAGTGGACTGAAGAAATTGCATATCCAGATGTTAACAAAAAACTAAATTTTTTGTGCAATTTACAGATTTCCCAGTTCATTTTTGCAGTCTGATTTCTAGTCACTACATCCTGCTCACGAGGCATGGTCACACTCCATTTAATGGGTTTTAATTCATTTTGATGAATCATCCAATCTCAGAAAAAAGTATTTCTATATGATGCTTTAAAGGAATTATACAGAGTTGTGAAGCTCTGCCCCTTTCTCAGCAACTGTGTGCATAATAGTATGAACAGTGTCACCTATAAATTGCTGTCTTGAATAAATAAATCAGATCTGAAGGTGTTTCTAACCTTTCTCACTCAACTGTTGCAATCCAGTTTGCAACAGTTTCTGCTTTCTGCTATTAGTACCAGCTCCAATTAATTCACTCAAGGTCGACCAGAACAAAAAGCACATAGTTCAATAATGCAGCACCCTTTTAAAACTTAAGTAAATGGTAAGTGCTTGCACTATTATCATTTGACTGTTCTCATTTATTTTCTCTCTCAGCTCCACCAAACTGCTTTATACCAGAAACTGCTCTGAAGTACATTGTTGCTTTATCAGCTGTTTCTTTTGCATTTTATTTTTAATAATCCTGGTTTTTTTTTAATTTATTTTAGATTCAATCACTCAGTATACAATATGTCCTATGGAAAACTACATTTTTCAGATGTGAGCTAACTCAAGAGTTTCCATATGGTTGTAAGGAAGCACGCCTAACTTGGATTCAACAAAAAAATAAGCTGTGAAGCAAATTCCAAAGAAAATGCAACTCACAGACTTATAAATACAGAGGAACAATTTCTATATTTTTAATATTTGTGCAAGTGTTCATCTTGTGAAATTTTTAGGTTTTGAAATAAAGTATTTCCCTAATAAAAGTCACCTTCCTTTTGTTTATTTCTTGAAGACCTTTGGAACTAAAAGCTGAAGGAATCACTATTCACTGGGAGGGAGTGGAATTTTCTAGTCTTTAAGCAAGGTTGGTCATGTTGCAGTGCAGTTAAAAGATGTGCACTCAGCATGGGTGAGTGTGCCTGAGCTGGGTCTGGTGCAGTCAGCAGGAGCTGTGATCTCAGGGCAGATACAGGAATCCTGTTGGCTTTCCTCTTTAATCTGTAGATGTGTTTTTAGCATGCACAAAGTGAGGTTTATATGTAAAGTATGTTGCATAGCACCTGTTGATCTATAAATGTACAGGCTCCTTTAAAGATTTCCAAGTACCAAGTAAGTACCATACATCAAAATGATGTAGCATGACAGAGAGTAATGTTATCAAATAATTTAAAGGCAGCTCATAACTCACACCTTCCAAACTCAGTGTTCCCATCAGAGTTCCCTCAGCATAAGACAAAGCAAACTCTGTATAAAAAAATATTATTTTGAGTTAATATTACAAAAAATCAAAAGATAATAATTGATTTTTATGTTATTTTAACATTGCCATTCTATTGCATTGTTCTAATTCTTGGGCTTTTGAAGAGATTTGAATATAAAAGTTCTGTAAACAAGGATTATACAATCTTTTTCTTCAAAACAAGCTCAGCAGTATCTGTGGGTGACAGGCTGCAGGTAAAAATTGCAGGTAAAAATTGCATTTGTAAAGTTGCTCTGTAAAATGTTAAATATGCTTATAATGGAAAAGCTTCACATTATGATTCTTCTATGGAAAATTAAACTGATTTTATTTTCTGAAATGCTAAGCATCTGTAACTCAAAAGGTTAAGACCTCATTTTCAAGTGTTACATAGCTGGATTTGGTATGTAAACTATAAAATCTAATTTGCTGAGGTCTTTTCCTTGCTTAGTTTTCTGAAATGCAATTTTTTAACAGTGGAAATGGAAAAGTAGGAAAAGTATGTTTGGTATAAAAACTGTTATGATTGATACGAAATTTGATAATCATGTCAGTCTACAAATGGTACAGTTTATCATCAAAACTATTTACCTGTTCAGTGCAGAGCACTGGTAACATATTATCACTCTTCAGCCTTGACCTTATGAGCCCCCTTATTAAGAAGGCAGTTGCCAAGTATTATATAGTAAAATAAAAATTCTTATATAGATTGTGGCATGTGAACATATGGTTGCCAGTAAATAACAGAATCATTTGTTTGAATTATACAGTTTAACTTTGACTTTAACAACCTCCTGGTTTTATTTTTTAGTAATTTCCTAAGGGTACTACCCATAAAAATCTGTCACTATTAATTTATAGAATATAGCACTCCAAATCAGCTTTCTCATAAATCTTCTTAAGATTAGTCTCAGCTATTTAAGTTGTAAATTCTTGGATCATCTTGTTGGTCTTTATTAGTCACACATGTAAAGACTTGACAGTGAGAAGTCTAATATCTTTTTTTCTAAACTAAAAGGCTTCCAACAAAACAATCTGCCAATTTAGATAATTCCACCTTAAATTCTATGGTTGATAGAAATCCCTGTCTACTGGCTCTTCTTGCAGAATTTCTAGTAGACAGGCAGATACAGCCAGCAGGAAATTGAATTCCAAATTCTGGTCTCACATTCTGGGCAATAGGACTGCTGTCCACCCTGACTGACTGCTTTCTAAGAGTACCCCCAGCACCAAGAAGCATCAGTGATTCATGAGTAGCTTTGAGCTCTGAGATCTTTCCAACCTGCAGAGGTCAGTGAACATTCTGCCACAGCACAGCCATGGGCTCTCTCCTCTGCAGACAGGTACAGGATCTCCTTATTGGGAAGATCTACTTAACATTTATTAATTTCCTTTATTCCTTGCTTTTGGTTTTTTGGGGGTTTTTTGGGTTTGTTTTGGTTTGTTTTGTTTTGTTTTTTTTAGGAGAAGTTGTCTTAACCTTACCTTTTTCATCCTGCAAGAATACTTTGCCACTCATTTGTGAAAATGACTCAGCATAGCTGCTGTGCCTCCTGAGAGAACTTCTGCTGCCCTTCTAAAGGCTCTCTAGCTCAATCCCATTAGTACAATTAAAAGTCTTTCTAAGATAGCTGAATTTAATTAGGAATATGTTTAAACCAAAATATATTGGAAAGTCAAAATAAGCATTATTCCTCTGTGAGATTCACATTAGCTGAGCTAATTTGTAAATGTAGTTAAACTCCTGGCACATTTTAACTCATTTTACTTACACCTATTGGTGCACAGACCACCAATATCCCTCCCATCTTTCCTCTTCCAGAGATAAGAAGAGCTTTTACCACACTTTGCATGATGCAGTGGGGACTCACATTGGCAAATACACAAACGCTGAGGACAAACACAGGCATGGCCTTGAAGAATGTGTTGCTTAATCTGTGTCAGAACGGCAGCAAAATTGGTGTCCTCTTCAAACCATATATCCATAAAAAATAGCTTAGGATCTAAAAAACTTTCTTAGTTTCAGTGACTAATAATGTGAGATTGGCTAAGGATGTGTTTGAAGGAAGAATGCCAGTGAGGTAGGTGGATCTTAAGTATTTTCCCCTTTCTCTGTTTTTGTAATCAGTTTTAGATTGTAACTGCATTTGTGGTAAGTATATCAATACAGTAAAAAATCTCTAAATATTCACAGTGATCCCAGTATATGAACCATCTGGTATTGACTTACTAAACTATAGATTTTTTGAGCTTGTTTTATGTTTCTGGATATCTTCTTGACTCAACTATAGTCAGCTTTTTGGAGATTGTCCCTTTTTAAATAAAAATAAGTCATAAAAACTATTGCATCACTTGATCATCTGTTTATAGTTCCACTAAAATAAACTTGTGTTATACTAATTGATCTGTATAGAATGTAATTTAGGACTCAACTGCATTTTGTGCTAAAGTGTTACCAGCACATTCAGTGCTAGGGAACTGCCAGCACACACGTGCACTTTTTTTTTTTGGTGAAACCTTAGGGACTGTGAGGCAAAGGTGCTCTAAAATAGTCTTTCTGGGCAGGAGCTGTGGCTGTGTGGAGCAGTGTTTCTAACACTTACTAAGCTTAAAGTTGAGGTATATCAGTAAGAGTATCTAGAAAACTGATTAAACTAATTATTTTTTCCTCCAAACAAACCCACAACAACAAAAAAACCTAAATATTTGCTCACACTGAAAACTGAAAAGTATTAACAAGCCTCTGTCTGTGCCAGCAGTCATCTTTAATGACAGCTCTCATAAAATAAAACCAAATGTCTGTGGTCTTATTGCAATAAACAGGGTCTTCTTTCTGATCTCCTTTTATTGCTTTATTTCAAAATTAGCTCTTTGCATGACAGGCTCTGGAAGAGTATCACCTGTACTATACTACAGCATCGTGCAGCAGCTGATAACAGGGTGACTAAAAACTGCCAGTGGTAAAAAAATAACCACTGTTATCAGCACAGGTGTCTGCTGAGAGCTTTGGCTGGGACCTCACAAAGCAGAGTTTTCCTTCTGTTGATACAGATGTGAACCAACTCCTCTGATCACGCAGGAGTGGCTCAGGCTGCTGTGCACACTGAGGTGTTAAGCAGCAGCCAGGTGTGATGCAGGACTGCACGTTTCCTTGAACATCCTTCAGAGAGTGATTTGTGGCACTGCCCTCCCAGGCTGCCAGCACGTCCTCACCCTCCTCACTCTGGGAGCCTCGGGCTCACACTGCCTGAACCTCCCCGCGACCTCTTCCGTGCCGCCTTGTGTTGTTTGCCTTGTAGCTTCTGCTGTCTGGAAGGCACCTGAGCTGCGACTAGAGACAAAACTGCCACGGGATGTTTATTTTCCAAGGGGATTTATCAGTGCCACAATGTCGTTCACATTGTTTTAGAGATTTATTTAAATGGAAAAAAAAAGGTGCGGCTACATGTGAGTTCGTGAAAGATTGGTACCACCAGTCCAGGCAGGTTTAGGCTTTGCTTGGGATTTGTTTTTCTCTCTTCATCACAGATTTTATGGAACTATACACTCAGGGCTTTTAAGAGAGAAAACCAGGTCTTTAGGAGGGAGTGTGTGAAGGCAGGCAGTTTCACAATATTATTGATGTGACATGTGCATGTGACAGTCATGGCAGCTGAAGCTGAAACTTGTAAGCTCTTCTGCAAGTGGTTACTTTTTGCAGTACATTGATATCTCTCTCTCTTAAGACCCAGCTTTTTCAAAACTTCAAATAATTAAAGAAATACATTTTAAAAATCAGAGGAGGAGATAGCTTCATGACTGAGAACTGTTAAGGAGATGATCTCATCTCTAAATTACATTTTTACTTCTTGGATACAAGTTAGACTTGGATACAAGTTAGACTTGGATACAAGTATGGGCAGAGGTAAAGAAACATTTTCCAGATTTTCTGCTCTGGAGTAAAGCATTCCAGCTCATTCACTCAAGCTGAAATTTGTCCAGGGGAAGTTTTACTAAGTAAGTAGTCCCATGGATCTAGAGATAAGCCTAAATCCAAGATGATTTTTATGCATGCACTATGGAAATTGCCATGACTTTAAATGTTCTGTGAAACATTGTGGATAAACGTAAACCAACATTCAAAATTCTGCATTATACATTTTAAAGATTAAGTTGAGCAAACCCAAGATTTTTGATCTTAACATTTGTGGGGAGGGCACAGGTTTTAGTTCAAGAAATCAACAAATATGGACCTGCTCTGATTACAGCCTATTCAATTCAGTCAATTCATATGAAAATCAAGACACTTGGGAACCCAGCTAAAAGCTTGCAGATACTTG